TCAGCAGCAGACATGCTCCGAGATCTGATTCGTGTCAATCACATCACCGTACCTCGAGTAGAATCTCAGCCCAATGCGGCGTTCGCCAATATGATGTCAAGACTCGACGACATACACCTACGACTCTGGATCCTGCAGTACCATCTGTTCAAAGACGGCATGTCCCAAGATTCAGAGGCTTTCCCTACTCCTTCTGACGATTTGTTCGATTTCATCCGCCATGTGCATCATGCGACTGGTGTACGTGGCTTCTGTCACCTTTCTAATCGTCAATTCTTAAGGCTCGCAAAGGACGAGCTACTTCGCATGGATGATATCGTTGATGGTCCCAGCCACGCCACCGAGCTTTGCCAGGTACTACACGATATGTATGGATTAAAGCTTTTCGTCGAGCCTTTGGACTGTCAGAGCTTTCAAACTACGCCAGACGTCCTTGATAAGAAGACTGCCTTCAGCATCTTACCTTTCGCAATGTCGCAAGCTGCTAAAGTCGATCTCAAGGACCTACCGAAGACCGAGCTCAAAGGTACCATCGAGAAAGTACATGCTGCTCTTGGTCGGCCTAAACAGAACGAGGATATCACCTTTAACCGCAAAGTCATTTCCACTTACTTCAAATCACCCGTCAATCCAGTGGCACTGTTTGGGTGTCTGAAAGGTGTTGGTTCGCTCGCCACGAAACACATTCCTGCTGACGAAGCTGTGGCTGCATCGAAGGGCTGGTACTATATGATGGGAAACATCGCGCTGAGCAAATTCCGATCGCAGAAACGGATGACTCAGGGACCGACAGAAGACCTTAACTATGCCCAGGCATTCTTTGTGCAGGACTTGGAGCACTCCATCGAACGGTGGGAGACCTGGTATCGGCTTGCCCAAGCCAACGACACGCAGCTTGAAGAGGCTGTATCTTGGAACGCCGATAAGATGAACAGCAATAGTGCCGAAGTGGTTAATTTCCAGCGAGCTGCTATCAATTGCTACATTATGGCCGTAGCCTGCGCTACCCGCGATGCTAACATCACGCCGATCGATCAAACTAAGATTGCACAGATGTACACAGAGTTTGGAAACCGCATGTACGCCTCATCCAGGGAACCGTTTGGTATGGAGGCATTCCAGATCCGGGAAAGTGAAAAACGATTCTGCAACCTACAAACGAACGCATCCCTATACAAAGAGGTCGTATTTGCCCCACTCCATGCCTACACTGCTTGGAAATTCGCAAGCACTCTCTACAAGAGAGCCATCAAAGGCAATCCGAACAAGTGGTGGAACCACTTCATGCTTGGAAAGTGTGGTTGGAAGATGTGGGCAGCAAATGATGGTGCGACGCAATATGCCAAATCAATAGGTGCACCACTACCCCTTCCGCGCGGTCCTTCCTGGGAGTCAGTCGTGGACGCATTCATCAGCGCCATCGAAACATTGCCAGGAAAGAAGGGGCGCAGCGGCGAGCCAGTCCTTGAGCCGCATTACAAGCTCGTTTCCGTCACACACAAACTATTCCTGCGAGGAGCCATCGACCACGAGAAAGGGGCGGAGATCCTCGCGAACACTTCCTACGCGCAGAACGTCAAAGCTCCGGAGAACAACGGTGACTGGCAGCGATACGTACTCGCGGTGTTGAAAGCATTGCGAGCGGCCGACAAGTCAAGTTGGCACCATCGCATCATATCTCGTGTGGCCCATACCCTCTATGACAACGGCAGAGATCCAGTATCGGCCAATGAGGCTAAACATGAGCTTACGCAGCAAATGTTTACCAAGACCATGGCTGTACAGGTTTGGAAACCTGAGAATGAGCGACCCGGCCGACATTTTGTCTACACTACACGGTATACCAAGTTCTTTATTGAACTATTGGATCTCACTGGAGACAAGACTAACTTCGAGGCGCTTGCTAAGCGTGTACGACGCAAGCAGACTGACTTCTTCGAACACCAGAAATTGTGGCAAGACTTATGTCTGCGCTATATCAAAATGCTGCGAAAGATTGGCAACGTACTTGAGGGACAAGAAGACTCTGCTTTCAAGTCTGTCAACCACGATGAGTTTAACACGCTGGCTCTTCGTTTGGAAGCGTGGTGTCAGAACCCAGAGACCCAACATCCCGTGCTGGATGTTCTCCGTGATGCTATCGAACTCAAGCGTCTAAATAATGGCATGATGAAGCCCCTTCTCATCGACGACCTGATTGGCGACGCATACGCAATGCTGTACACTTCGATCGGACCATCGCTACCGCCGTTGCAATCGGAGCAACAACCACAGCAGCCCTTGCAGCCTGCACAGCCTCGACCATCGCCTTTCGGTGTACCCGCAACAGCTGCAGGTGCTGTACCTATCTCCTCGTTGATGCAGGTTCAAGTTGATGGACCTGCTGACGGAAGTTCTGGTACGCCATTTAACATGTATCACCCCAACCAGCTTCAGCCGCAGCACCCGCCGTCAATGCCGCAAATGCCCTCGCAGCCTGAGCAACCCGCAAAACCAAGAGCCAAGGCAGTGGGTCGTAGGGAGATCGCTCGCCGAGCCGAAGCTTGTGTACAAAAGATCGCAGGTACGGCGGCTCAGCCAACATCGATGCCAATCCGATCGCCTCCGCCCAGCGAAGCAGCGCTTCCCTCCATCGTCGGACAAGCCGCCTCACCCGAAGCCGTCGCGCAACCAGCACCTGGACCAGGCACATCCACCGAACATCTACACCCTTCCTTCGACAAAAGCGGTACAGCGACCGCATCTGCCAGTATAAATAACGACGAGCCCGAACGCAGCGCACCCGCTTCCATCCACGACGACGCAGACGACGAGAGCGAGCTTAGCGAGCTAGACGAAGAAGAGGTGGAAGAGATTCATCAGGAAGTTCAGAACGATAATCTGCGTAGATCGGTATCTATTGCAGGCAAACCTCTCTTTCCTAATCTGGCGGCTAATCGAGTTAGTCCCGAAGGAAAAAGGAATGAGGCGGCTGCTGGAGATGATGCGGCGGATGATGATGGCGATGTTATTCACGTTATGTCGAGGAAGGAGGATGGCGATGTTATACATCTTAGTGCTAAGAAGGATGAGGATGCGATGGATGTTGATGGTGAGAAGAAGTAAGCGGTTTATGCGTTTGGTTCAACGGCGCATAGGAGGATGTTTTTGCTGGGTTGTGTACTACTACAGAATAAGTGTGTCTCCTGGCGTTGCTATGAAGGACCGTCGACGGTGGGATCGGGATATGTTTGTTTCTAGATACCCATCATATAGGGCTGTATATACAACATGTATGACAAGCGCTTGAAGTAACATTATCCGTAGGTCTCTCCTTCCTCTGCCCGACGTCATTCTTGTTATTCACTTTCCTCATCCTCAGCTGGGGTCATCATTGGCTCAGACATCACGCCTCCACAGTTCTTTCCCTTTTGCGACCGCAGTGCATTGGTTAGGCAGCAAACACGGGCAAGCTAGAGTCGTGTATATTGAGGGTTATTTGCTCTGTTCGTAAATCACCATCGCTCATTCCAAGGTATACAATCTTACGCGCCAACCCCAGACACGAACGAAAGATGAAGTTCCGCATCCCTCCTTCCAGCTCCAACCGTCCCTCAAAAGACGAGAGCGCCGGTACCTCGTTCGAGAACCCGCTAGTTGACTTCCGCGCCCAACTCGACTTGACCGCCACGCGCTACTACGCTTTGGATCCGACCAACGGTATCATAAAAACTACCTTGGCAGGCATAGCTGAGTATCACGCGAAAGGTTTTGCTATGCTTAACAGTTACGGTTTGCGCTTGGACGTCTTTTCCAGAAGTGGTCGCAGCGCAGTCGGTTTTGTTGTCAATCAAGCCCAGGGAGGCAAAAAGGTTTTGTCGCGCCTGAATGACCGGGAGTGGGAGTTCATCGATGTGAAGACTGCCTTGGTGGAGGCGGCCACCGACGACACTATTCATTATGGTAAGTTCGCGGAATCTACTGATGTCCTACATGGTTGCTGATCATGTGTAAAAGACGTTCAGATAAAGTACTTCAAGCGCCGCATCCAACCTGAGCAGGTTGAAGGTAGGTTATCTCTGCCATGAGTTTGAACGCATATACTGATAGTTCCCACTCAGATGATGACCTTGAGGGCTTATTTGATTGGCTTTCCGATGATGAGGAAGCCGCTCCGGCTTCGGGATCTGGAATCGCTACTTCCTAGACTGAAATCTTTCATCTTGGTAGGCTATGATTGAGTTCAGCCTCGATGTATTTTCGATCACGACTGGAGCACTGGATTCAGAGGGTGTTTGTTTCTAGATACCAATCATATATGGCTGCACACACAAGGTGTAAATCAACGTTCGAGTCTGCCGAGTGCGATCGGTGAATAGCGTTGAAATGGCGGAAGGCGCGTACGCCGAAGTTGATGTCCCCGATACTTGACGGCATCACAGTCCTGCTTCTCTTCGCGTTCCTTATTCTCTCTTTGGGTATCGCGCCTCCCTCGGCAAGTCACGGGCTCACTCGATCCACGAACGCGATTGCTCGTTTCCATAGCGTTTGACGTTGATTTGCCTGCCGCCTAGCAATCTGAATGTCTTCCGTCCACAACACACGACCGCAAGCAGCAAACTCAATCGCTCGTTCAGGCTATAAGATCCCTCCTTTCCCACGCTGTTTCGAGCACACAATAGGATCGCTGGATCCCCTGAATACCCCACCGACAATGCACTCCTTCACCGTGACCGATGCGCTCTCACTTTCGCGGTGAGGGACGATGATCGAAGGTCACCTGGACTCCGAGTAAAGGTCAAGGTGACCGCTGAGGAGAACCGCCTTGGTTGTATAAGTAGGTGGTTTCGAGCGGGTTTGTGGTTCCTTCTTTCTATACACCACTGCTACAAGAAGAGATATCACTGCAGTACACTTCAACTCCTAGTAAGTTTCCTTGAAGATACTGGCTATGTTTACTCTTCTAACCATGTCACAGAAGCTATATATACCACAATCAAACTCTCCACCTCAAAGAAGATATGTCCGCCGCCGCTGGATCCTCTCCACCTCCTCCGCCCCCTAGCGGCAATTCCAACAAGAACACTGGCCATGGATCTTCTTCCTACCCCAACCTCAAGATCCCTCTCTCAGGAGACGGGAGCACTCCCCAGAAGGCTGCTTGGGCAGGTATCATGTTTCAACCACCTGGTATCACCAAGAACTACGTCGTCGACGGCGTTGGCCTCTTCCCTCGATACCGTCGTACCCGCGTCGAGGAAGCGCGTGAATATGCTCGACTGTCGTATACAATCCTCGATGGGGAGACCTACGAGGTTATCCCCGAGTCTCATATCCCTCCGGGTCCCATTGGCAACCCCTCTATGCCGGCCGCTGCGGGTATCGTAGCTCAGATGCAGGACATTGCGGCTCACGAGAACGCACTTGCGACGGGTTCGGGGGCAGCAACTGATGCTTACAACGCGCTTCAAGTTCACCGTGAGTCTAATGTATCCTCCTCGCACGATTATGGCTGACACTGTGTAGACGGTGACGCGTTTGTAGACGACAACGACAACACCGGCAACTCATCGGAAGACGCTGCCGGTAAGTCAGTTCAGTGTTATATCAGACGAATTTGTACTAATCGTTTGTCAGAATCCTCTTCAGACACGTCTGGCGACCGCTCGGCTGGTGCCTCTTCTACAGAGTGAGACCTGGCTGTCGGATTTGTGCTTTCACTTCGGAGCGAGATTGCGCGCGCTGGGTAAATTCGACTGGAAAGAGTGGGCAAGTAGATGCAACAGAGTTTATCTTGTTAGTCATGGCGTTAGTAGATACCCCTTGGATAGAAGAGAATAACATATGAGATATAAAGTCGAACTCCGTCTTCACACTGCATTTGAATGAGACTACCGCTCGCGGAAAGACTACATGATACCTCCGGGTTTCCTCTCAAGAAATCTAACCAACATGTGGGGCGCTACCAAGAGAAGATAGACGATGTGTTATATGTCGTCACTCCATTGTGTTAACCCACCAGCGCTTCGACATGTCATATACACCTACTGCAGTACCTTACTGCCCGCCCTGCTCTATCGTTGGCGTTCTCACTTTCCGCAGGTCTTGGCCGATTGCTACTCGCACACACATGCATCGATCTCGTCAAATTACGCATGTGTTTCAGTAGTTCTACAGACTTGTAGAAACTTATGCAGTAGCTAGAGATATCTCGTAAGCGTGCATCGACGCCTCTGACATTTACTTTCTTATTTATAGTGAAAAGACGGCGATAATCAAGAGAGGAGCCACGCGCATGTCTATCGTAGCACTCGCGTAGCACACTGTCTTGAGTACACCCGCACACAAGGGCAAAAACATACTGCTTACCCTGCACCTCTGTAGCTGTGTTTGTGACTTACACATGGTTAAAAAAGAGTGTGCGTGTCCCAACTTCACATAGCCATGGTGAGAGCGAGGGCAAAAAAAGATTGTCGCAATTAATTGGCGGTACTGGGAACTGTAGACATGTTAGGAATGTCTCAGGACCACCAATGAGGGAATGAACGTACTCGAACCCAGGCTGGCGCGGATCTGGATCGGGACACTAGGTGTCCGCCAGCCACAACGCGACGTCATACCACTAGACCATACCACGATAGGGTTGTTAGTACGGTGATTGGGAGAGTGGCTTGGACAGCTGCTTACCCGAAGTGATTCGTTTTGATGGAGAAACGAAGAAAAATTCCATATATAACAATAGCGCATTGTGTGTATGCGACCAGCATCCAGCCCGCACCACGTCTCCCACAAGCATGTGAATCATAGTTCTGACAGCAAAATTTGGATGCGATGGCGGGGTCAAGAGGTCTGTGCCCTCCGCTAATGGTGGGGCTGGATTTCCTGGTCGCATCCGAGTTGCTCTTTCTTCACCAAATCACCTGGGCAGTCACAACAGCAACACACCTGAGTGCTCGAAATGTCCATAGGTATGTGATTTGAAGTACTCTACAGGCCCAGCTACGCGTTGAAAGAACGCGATACTCCAGCTTCAGCGTGAGTTCATCGATATCTAAGGTGGCTGGAGCTCTACATGACGAAGGCCGCTTGGAGCTAGTGCTGCATTTGGCGATTTTACCTGCATCTTCGACGAGGGTGGACACTACTAACGCTCGCACCAGAGCACTCATCACCTCGGCAGTCGCGAGGCAAGCCGCGCAAATCCTATCGCGTCGAGGATGAATACTCGTTTCTCGATGAAGACGAGGATGGCATTGCGCCCTCCGGCAAACAGACATCATCCCTCCAAAACGGCGATGATGACGACGGTGATGACTTCATGCCGGATGCCCAGGAGGAGGAGATGGAATATGAAGAAGAAGACGAAGTGGTAGAGGAGGAAGATGACTCTGCGGAAGAGCAGGCCAATTCCGACGAAAGTCCTGCACCAACTCCAAAACGCAATGCACGCGATGCACGAAATGCGCGAGTACCTCAAGCCGTGCCTACTACCCCAGACGTTATTCCGAAACGACGGTACAACGATCCCCGCTACAAGGACATGGCAGACAACATACCGTCACCAGTCATATTCAAGAAAGGAGGTGGCATCAAAGTACGGGTTGTCGATACGGACACGCAATTACGAACGCGAGGTATCCCTGATTTCGACAAGATCGGTGGTCATGAACCGCGGCTGAAAAACCTGTTTGGTCCAGATGTACACCATCTGAGACCAGTACTCGAATCGAGGGACTATTGGTTTCCACAAGAAACTTTCCCTATCCGGAGTTATAAGAAGAATAAACCTGATGATGCAGAGGTGGGTAGCTTGAGAAGGAGCTTCTTCGAAGCCGAAGGCGCGAGGGAGAAAGAGAATGAAGTCTTGAGGACGTGGTATGCCAATACCGGAAGCCATGTTTTTGCAAAAGCGCAGATAACGAATAGATTGACCGCGGACGAGGCAAGACATTACATGACAACCCCAGGATCGGATACCATGAACGTACTGGCTGGTCCGGTGAACACTCCCCAAGTCAACACGCTGGCAAAAGGCTCATACATGAGCATCGCAAAACCCTTCCCGGGCGATCAAGAGCGACGCGGTTGGCTGTTCAACCTTGGCTCTTGGGTACAAGACGCTCAATGGGCGACGAACGAGGAAACCAGCACCCAATATATTGCTGTTGCCGTCGAGCAGAGATCTACCAGCGGCGACCAGCCCAAGCCATTGGAGCAGCCAAAAGCACCTGCATTCAATCCTACCGAGCCATTTCCTGCGTCGATTCAGATATGGTCGTTCGAAGCTGACGATGAAGGCGACTTGGATGCATCGAAAGAGCCGCAACTAGAGCTAGTCATCTGCACAGACTGGGGTGCGCCAAAACATCTTAGATGGTGCCCGGTAGCTGCTACAGACGCGACTGAAGAGACGGACAACGCAAGTAACAGGCATGTAGGTATGCTTGCAGGTATTTGGTCCGATGGACGAGTGCGTGTCTTGGATATCTCCGCACCTCCCAAAGCCGACACTCACACTCCTACGTATCTTCGTGTTTCTCGTGCTGCATTCGAAGTTTCGTTTCCTCAAACAGTACCTTCGTGCTTGCACTGGCTGTCGGGACATACAATCGCGGTTGCGACTGCAGCAGGTACTGTAGGCATCTGGTCTCTCAACCGCCCAGGCACACTCAGAACACCCGACGCCGCAAATCACAACCCCAGACCCTGGTTCTATCAGCAATTGGCAGACACGTACATTCTCACAGTCTCCTCTGGATGGCCGTCTAATCCGCAATTCTTGTCCATCAGCACCGCAGACGGTTTCGCCCGCCTCTTCGACCTACGAAGCCCAAATGCCGATACCACTGCTTCGATACGAGGTCGCACGCTTTGTCTAACGCAGGCATGGCACGAGCATACGCAATCCTTCGTCATGCCTGATGAACACTATATCCTGCGACACACACCCATCCGTCGTTACTACCACAACCTCTACAGCATGCGATTAGAAAACAGCATCACACGCGTCGCGACGAGCCCGGTCCACCCCGGCGTTCTCATCGGCGGAGTTGATGGAGACATTCAAGCCAGCAACCCGATCATGCGCATCACGAACTACAAAATCATGCCATGGCAGCAGAAATGGTTTGTCCACGAGTGGCGAGGTCCGATGAATCGACTGTCAGCCAAGCCTACGACTGATGGAGATGTCACGATGACCGAAGGCGAAACAGTAGAGCAGCCCAACGAAGACACCGTACCCGGACTGCAAGCCGGAGAACCAGCTGATGGGACCAAGAAGGTGCCGCAGGAAGTACTCTCGCAACCTCTCGTCCGCATCACCGAAGGCTACAAGGCTGGTCAAACAGGCATTGCGCACAGTACATCTGCGAATGCGACTAAGAGGGGTAATCCGGAGGTGGGAAGATCGATTAGTATCTTCGAAGAGCTGACTGCGATCACGGCGCTGGCTTGGAACCCGAATCTGAAGTTTGGGACGTGGGCTGTTGCGGGTATGGCATCGGGGTTGTTGCGCGTGGAGGATATTGGTATCTAGGAGGGGGAATCGAGGATGCTCCTAGTGTTAGTAGCTCATGGCATGGCGAAGACTTACTGTGGGGTGCAAATCGACTTTGGCGAATTCGAGACAAGTGCGCGCGGAACTTGATACAAAGTATTGTGTTACGTGCTTCATGATTTCATTGGTTCGTATCATAATCTTACTACAACATCTTCTAGTTGACAGCCTTCAACTTGCACATCAAAGGGTGCTTCTCCCAAAGAATGAATGTTTTCTGGTTACTCCAATCACTGCTCTCAGGGCAGAGTTCAATATCAAAGTTGTAGTAGACCTTGGAAGCAAGGAGGCGTATCTCGTGGTATGCCATACTAAGTTTACTGTTAGCTTGCTATGGTCTGTGTACGTATGCTAGAAGAGAATAGCGAGAGAGGGCGGTTGAACTTACTTCTTGCCAACACAATCCCTAGATCCAATCGAGAAAGGCTGAACACACTGCCTCTCATCGCTCTCGAACTCGGGATCACCCATCCATCTCTGAGGCAGGAATTCCATTGGCCTCTTGAAGTTCTTGTCAGACAGGTACATGGCGTGTTGCGGGATCATAATGATGGTGCCGGGTGGTACGTATTGGCCGACAACAGTACTGCCGTCTTGCGGTGTGAGGCGAGGGAGTCCAAGAGGAACGGGTGGGTAGATACGGAACGCTTCCTTGATGCAAGCCGACAGGTATGGCAATGCAGCGAGTTGCTCCATTGTCATGTCGGCATCGCTAGCGAAAGCGCTACGGATCTCGTGATTGAGCTTTGCCATGCAGTCCGGGTTGCGCAGGAGCAGGTATGTCAGGCCCGAAACGAGTGTAGCTGTTGTTTCCGTTCCGGCGATCATAAAGAGGGAAGCATTTGCGTCCATCTCGCCTCGGGTCAGGCCTCGGCCCTCCTTTTGGCCTAGCACCAGATCCCATAGATCGACCCCTTCGGAATCGCGGCCTTTCTCAAGGCGCTTTGTCACGCGCGTTACAGAGTGGTTGAAGTGGTCCATCCGCTTCCGATTTACAGACTCGGGTACGTATCTCTTGAACGCACGCCATAGCCATGGATATGACATCATGACGGTGAAGTGAGATCCCATCTTGAGACTGGCAAAGATGATACGAACCCAGGGGTCGTATTCGGCGTTGTCGAGCATATGCAG